TTTAAGGAGGGACAGTCACAGACTACATTTCTCTCTCTCCCTCTTATGAGTTGCAAGCCATTCAAGGCTCTGAGAATCATGTGAACTGCCTAATGTCTGCAAGATTCATTCTCTACAATCTTATCTAAGTGCAGGCTAAGATCTGGGGCCCAGAGCCTTATGTGGGTCAGCCTGACACACTATCACTTCTTGTCACCCTGTGCCCAATATACTCTATTTCCTTCTTTCCTCATTGCTCTCCTTTCAGGTCACAATTTGGGGCCCGCTGAAGGCCATTGTACTGGTCTTGGAATATAAGCACAAGTGCAGGAGGTGCTTATATTTGCTGTGGAGGATTACGTTGGCATTATATAGTAAGTGGAGAGCAGAGGGGGTAGGGAGGTGAAGACGGGTTTAGAAATGGTCAGAAACCATGCCCTGGCTAGTGTGGCTCAGTGGACTGAGCACCAGTCTGTGAACCAACAGGTCCACAGTTCGATTCCCTGTGCAGAGAACAAGCCTGGGTTGCAGGCCAGGTCCCCCGTAGTGGGTATGCAAGATGCAACCACACATTGATGTTTCTCTTCCTCTCTTTCTCCCTCCCTTCCTTCCCCTCTCTAAAAATAAATATATAAATTAAATGACAACAGCCAACACAACATTAGCTGTCCAATATGAATGAATAAAAATTTTTTAAAAAATTTTAGGAAACCACGGTAAGAAGAAACATAATCATGGTAAAGCCCTGTTCCCTCCAGCTGCCCAGCAGAATCTGTGTCCCCAAGAAGGGGAGGCCCCCCTCTCTTCAGCTGTTGCTCTTAATCTCTTTTTTCCTCATTAAGAACTTTGACTACAACTATGATGTCTGCCTCTTACGAATGCCATGGGAGTTAAGCCCGGCTCCCCAACATCAAGCTCAAAGTGTGTCAAAAAGGGATAGGCCTAAGAGAAGGGTAAGGTGTAAAGGTACAGAAATTGGCTGTCAGAGACAGTCACAGGAGGTAAGCAAACTTAGTTACCAACAGTTGAATCAGGTAAAACAATGTGGGAAAATTAATTTTGCTTTGAAGATCTTGTTAACCTTAGGGAGGTGGGGAAAATCTTTTTTTAGAAGTTATCTTTTTTTAGAAGTTATCTTCTAAATTCAGGTGGCAGAAATGTGAATGAAGAGATACAAAACAGCAGCATAAGGGTGAGCTGGAGTATGGTCAGGAAGGGTTATGGTCCAATTCTAGAGCAGGGTTTATGGAGCTATTTCAATTTTAGTAATAGCACACATCTAACTAGCATACAGTTGGGGTGTCCTCACTGACTGGGTGGGCTCAACAAAGGATGCAACAAGACAGCATTCTTTCATGTTATATGCCTACCAATCCCTGTAAATCCGTTTTGGGATACCACAGGAATGGATTCTCAGAAGAGAGAGACCAGTTCTAAAACGGGTCCTATTTTAGGGGAAATAAGAGTTGGGGAATGTGGGATAGAAGAGCAAGGCACCCAGTAAAGTACTTGTGCAATATACTCTCTGCTCCTTGCTAAATCTCGGTTTTCCCTTCTCTGCAACCAAATGGCTTTCAAAGACTTGGTGGCCTTATATTGGTTGCAGAAGCCACCACCAAAGGGAGACCTGGAATCTACCTCTATCAACATTCTGGTTTCTTTAGGCTACATCTCTGAGCAGGACCTGTACACAAACCAAAAGCAGGTATATGGGAACAGGGCGAGCAAGTGGAGCAATTGTCCCTGAGTAGAGACTGACAATACACTTACCTTGTCCTCTGCTGGCTCCTCCCAGCCATGTAGTCAGCGGGAATGTGTCTTTATGAAGTCCTATAGCAACGTTCCCTTAGGATGCTGTCCTCAGTCCTGTGAGTCTAGGAAAATTCCCAACTGCAGGGCACAGGTGCCGGGGGTCGGGCTAGTCCAATGGCTAGGTTAATGAGGAGAGGGTCCATCCCACGCCCTGCCTTCCATAACGGGAGTCCACCTGCGATCTCAGTCAGCCTGCCCAGGGCCCGGGCATCCCCCATTGCCTTCATTCCTGTAAATCAGCAGGACATGCTGAACCTGTAAGAGATTCAGCTCAGGAGACTGAGCTAGGAGAAGGAGCCTACAATTTAGGACTCATGGAGGCATGATTTTAGTCTCTTGGCTCCATAAACTTTGAGGTTATTCTTGAGAGGCCTGAAGAAAGAATCCAAACTTTGCTAAGGTAGTAACTCCCCTACTACAGTGCCAAAGAAGGTCCTCCCTTCGAGGTCCATTCTACCCCAAAATATTAATAAAAACATACACATAAATACCCAAGGCAAATGTGTAATAACTCACTTGATTCCCAATTATAACCCTAACTACCCAGGACTAGAGAGGCAGAGATCATCCTGTCTTCAAATAAATTCAAGGAGAGGAATTTATCTTCTTTATGCTTGTATCCCAAACACTATCATCCATCCAAAAGTTTCTGATTTTATTTTTTTTAAAGACTTTACTTATTTTTAGAGAGAGGGGAAGGGAGGGAGAAACAGAGGAAGAGAAACACCAATGTGAGAAACATCGATCGGTTGCCTCTTGCACACCCCGACTGGGACTGAATCCACAAACCTGCCCGGGAATCGAACCAGTGACTTTTCACTTTGTGGGACGACGCCCAACCTGCTAAGCCACACCAGTCAGGGCCAAAAGTTTCTTATTTAAAACTTTATTGTCTTAGTGCGTTTTGAACCCATTTACATGTCTTTTCTTTGTAAGTGAAAAAGTGTTTATCACTACTTTCTACTTAGTGAGTAATCAGAAACTTTTTTCCCGAAGCTCATAAAATCCCCGTTCTTTTTTTTGGCTCAAGTCCTACTTTATAGTCTTTTGATTATGTCTTTGGTTTACTTCCCCATCAACTTATTCATCACTCTAAGTACTGGGAGATAATATGGCAATGAATAAAATAAGATAAAAATCCCCACCTCTCATGAAGTTTATATTCTTTTTTACAATTTATTTTTCAATTATAGCTGATGTGCAATATTATGTGTTTCAGGTGTAGAAAATAGTACACCTTATGAAGTGAGCATCCAGAGGGTTTATATTCTAATGGGAGGAGACAATGGCATTAAGTAAAACTATTAGATCAGAAGGTGGTAAGCGCTATGAAGACAAATAAAAAAAAAGAGAGCTTGAAAGTTTTGGAGTAAAGCAATTTTAAGTAGGGTTGTCAGGAAGTCCTCACTAAAAAAAATAAAGTTATGGACTATGATGGAGTAAGCTATGCCGTGAGGAAGAGCTTTCCAGCCAAGAGCAACAACCATAAAGACCTTAGGGGGTCGGCACACCTTCAGCGTTGAAGGAAAACAAAAAGGCCGATATTGCTGGAGCAGGGTGAACAAGGTGAGTAGCAGGAAATGAGGTCAAGCAGTAAGTGGGGAAGGGTGGGGCAGCTTCTGGTGGGTCTCACAGACCTTTAAAGGACTCTGGTTTTTACTCTAATACAGGAAAACACGGAGGGTTGTGAGTGCAAGAATGACATAAACTGGCTTCTATGCGAACACTCTTCTCCCTGGTTGCTGTGTTGAAAACTGACAGTAAGTGGGCAATGAGCAGAAACACCAGTTACTGCAATAATTCTGTCTTGATCTAGGGTGGGTGCAGGGGAAGTGAAAAGAAATGGGATTCTGGATACATTCTCAAGGTAAAGATGACATGATCTGAGAAATTGGAGAAGACGAAAGAGAGGTATCAAAGATAATACCAAGGTGCTATGACATGAACACCTAAAAGGACGGAGTTGCCATTAACTGAAACAGGAAAAGACTGCAGCAGCAAGTTGGGGAGAAAGTAAGTTCAACTTCAATGTGAAATCTGAGATGCCATCTAAGTCCAGAAGCCAATGGGCAGCTAGATATTCAGGACAGAAGTCCAGGTTGGAGGTAAAAAATTGGGAGTCATCCACATTAAAATGATTTTAAGGTATTAAGACTGAATGAAATCACTGCAGGTATGCAGAAAAGCGGTCCAAGGACTGAACTCAAGACAGTTAATAGGTTGTAGAGAGGAGAAACCAGCAAATGAGGCTACAAAGAGTAGTCAGTGAGCTAGGGGGCAAACCAGAGCCAAGTGAAGAAAACGTTTCAGCAGCGACTCACGTGCTGATGAAAGCCTATGTAAAAATGGAGCAGAATGCACCACTAGATCTAGGTTTGTGCAAGTCATTGGTCACTGTGATAAGAACAGCCTGGGAGGAGTGGACTGAAAAGGTAATTATTACAACTTTTAAGATGTTCAGCTGTAAAAAGGGACAGCAAAACTAGTAGCAATTGAAGTAGCAATGGGGTCGAGGGGGTTCATTTGTAAGATAAGAAAAATGAAGAGTATTTTTGTGATCAAAGCACATACCTAGGTTGTGGCTTCGATCCCTGGCTGGGGAGCCTATGAGAGGCAACCAATCAATGTCTCTCTCTCTTCCATCAATGTTGTACTCACTCTAAAAACGATGAAAAAAAAAGTCCTCAGGCCGGGATTAAAAAAAAAGTTAAAGGTCATGACACCATTAATTCTGGTGGGTGTGGTAGGAAGGGATGTGTTTCTGGGGCACCCCTTCAAGCCTGCCAATACAAGTGCATGTAGGAATAAGTGTATGGAAGAGGGGTAGTATTATTCTTGAGGTATAAATTAGCATACAATCAGACCTGGGTCTAGGCTACTCTGAGGGACGTCCTCAGCACCTACTTCAAATAATTTACATGAGACGATATAGTAAAGCAGTTAGCACAAAGTCTGATACTAAAATATTAGCTGTGATAATACCGTTGTTAAGGGGATGTTACAAAAGTACCTAAAATATCCCCTCAATCTTAGCTCCAGAGCAGCAACCCCTACTACTACCTGCACAGCCAGCCAGGACGCTGCTCTGACCCTTGCCTCCCTAGCTGTTCACTCCACCCCCAACAATTTATTCAGGGCCATTTCTGCATTGTTCCTGAACAACACAAGCTGATTACCAACATAGAAAACCAGAAATATTTTATTGCTGAGTCATCTTGACGTTCAAATGATGGGAGGAGGAGTCCACAGCCTGGTCAGGACTCCATGTCAGGATAGAGATAATGGGTTCCATTCAAGGCACTAGCTACTGGGATCCTGTTAACCTTGTCAGTCCCTCCAGGTCACTTCTACTTCATCTGTTCGATACCTGTGAAAAAATACAAAAAACTTGGTGGATGGCTATCACTTGACATCTTCCATTCTTCTCTGCCCTCATGATTTGGGACCCTCTGCTCTCCTGACTTTTGCCTCCCTCCCATAGAACCCTATTTACATCCCCCAAGGGTACCTCTGTGTGACCCCAGAATCACTGAGGGGTGTCCTGTGTCCAGCCCGAAACATCTCCCAGCCAGCCTGGGCTATCATGGCTCCATTGTCAATGCAGAATCTGGAAAGGAAAAGAGATATAAAATTTGGGATCTGAAGGCGGAAAACCACAGCAACTGGAGGAAAAAAAGAAAAGAAAGGACAAGGACCTTTACCTCTCATCTGTGGCAAAAAGCCGGGCTCCACGTTCCTGGCACATTGTCTCCATCATTTCCTGGAGTCTCACGTTACCTATGAGGAGGTAGAGGGTAGGGTTAACGTAGTTTAGTTTAGCTATTTCTCCAGCCTAGCTGTTTATTACATGTACATTTACTTAGGAAAATGAGATTGGGGTCCTAGGGGGCAAGGATTGGGAAGTATAGAATAAGAAATAAAACTAGTAATTTCCCCAACCCTTTAGAGATTTAAACTATCAGGAAGAAGATGCACATGCCCAAGAATAGGAAAGTGGAGCACAGTCTAGTGATACATACACCCCACACCTCCCACAACGAGGGCCTCCTGGGAGCCACAGTGTGCCATGGCCCGCTCTGTGATCTCTACCAGCATTGCAAACACAGTTTCCTGTGGGGGACAGACAAGGTGAAAACATCAGAGGGAATCCTAACTTAGCTCTACTATATAAAAGCTCCTCCAGCCCCAGCTTCCTGTCCCAGCCTTTTACCCATTACCTGCAAGGAGAAACATAGATCCTCAGGAGTACACTCGCCTGTGGCCAACATCCGCTGGGCTGCATCCTGTAATTAAAGGGGAAAACAAACAGATAAAACAATGACTAGTGGTTTGGGAGATGCCATGAGAGTAAAATTAAAGCATTTGGAGGATCACCATGTTTCACCACAATTCAACTGGCCAGCACATCCCATACCACGCTTTGCCCGTCACTGGCACCAAACTATAGAACGGGCAGCATTCATTCAAGATTCAATAATTATGAATATCTGCCCTGGCACCACCCCTGACCCCCCGACCCCTTACCCTGCTGAATCTGTCTCCCTCACACTTACCACTATTTAACCCTTTATATTTTATTATTTTCCCCTCTTTCTTCCTTTTTTTCTCTTTTTCTTTATCTGTCTCCCTCTGTTAGAATGTAAGCTCCAAGTAGGCAGGGGTTTTTCTTTGCTTCATGGTATATGGCTACTGCCTAGGGTAGTACCTGGCACAGAGAGGATATGCAATAAATACTGGCTAAATAAATTTATTCAGCTTCTATTATGGGCCAGTACTGTGCTATATGCAGGAAATACAATGATGAGCAAAACAGACATGCTTCATTAAAAAGCATGCAAGTGCCTATCTCCTCCTCTCCCACACTCACCTCAATGAAAGACAGGATCCCTGAGAATGAGACGTCCATCCCCTTTACAGTGTACGGCAGCTCAACTAGCTTCTTGCCTCTGTGTGGAAGTGGCTATATGAGGCACTAAGTCTGCAGTCAGCAGGCTGCTCACCCTCCAAAGCTCCTCCCAAACCTCATTAATATAAATACAGGAAAATCCCTGAGGCCCCACAAGTCAGGCTCCTTCTACCTTATGTTCCCTTACCTCTTGGCCATCTGTTCAATGTTGTAGCCTGGACTTGGGTCATTGGAAATCTAGGAGATAGAAAAAAAAAAGAATGAAGTCAGATATCCAGGACACATAAACTAGTTTACCATAAACTAGTTTACTACTTTCTCCCTCCATTCCCATGGCTCCCCAGAAATTCATCCACATCTTATGTTCTCTGTAGCCCAACGGCTTACCTTCAGCACTCGAGCAAAACGATCCAGACAATTACCCACAGCGATATCGATGGTTTCCCCAAAGATTCGGTATCGATGTTCTGAATATGCAATCACCTAAGGGTGATGAGGATGTCCATGAAACCTCAAGTCTGTAAAGAGGAGTATTTGGCTTTGGGGAAGAGCAGAGGATCATCATGACCACTAAAGTGTCCAAAAAGGAATGGAGAGAAAGAACTTTGCCAAACCCTGAGTGGGTCTTTTTTATAGCTGTTATCTGAGAAGCTCCCATATACCTTCAGTGGTCCCAGAGTACATTCCTAGTCTATAGAAGACAGTCTAGGTCAGGGAAGAAGCAAACTGTCATTTCAACTACATTCTCCTAGCTTGGTAGTTCCTGATGTATCACTTAAAAGCAGTCTGGACAGTGCAACTAGGCAACAGGGTTTCCTGCTTAAAGGCAGGGAACCAGAGTCCTTTTAGAGTATCCTAAGTATCTTATTGGGGAAGTATTATTTGTAAATATGAGAAGAGGCAGAGTTGAAAAACTCAAAAATCCCACATTGTGTCAGACTAATGGCTGACCCAGCTCAGCACTGGCAATCAACTTATATCCAGTCTTCATATGTGACCAACTTCTAGCACAGAAAGTGTGTGTCGCCCACTGACACACATACTCTGCATTTCCGGCAGTGAGTGCTGCCCAGGACTGAAGAAGTCCTTTTCCCCCTGGTGCTGCTCAGGATTTCCTTCTGTTCTGATGTAGACCTTACTCTGAGGTCAAAAGGCTGGTAACAAAAGGGGAAGGAAAAATACCTGCCTTTGTTCTTCTCTCATCTACCCCTCTCCATCCAATCGTCTTCCCTGATTTTTACACCAAAGCATGGAAGAGGAAAAGAGAAGACCTGATCGCTGCTCCTCTTAACTGTTGTAAGCCTCCATCACTACGTTCCACACCCCAAGTCCCTGATCTTGCATGTCATCCTTCAGGCCTCAACCAGCTATGTGCCTTCTACCTGTTCAAGGCCATGATTTTCATGGGAATGTGTACTTCATCTTTAATTAACTGTTTCACACAATGAAGTTTTAGAACATAATCTTTTCATAAGCTGGGGACAATGACTATCTCTGACAATAACTCCATCAGGTGTTCTTTGGGGAAAAAAAGGTGGAGTTTGCCAGTCCCAACCTAAAAAGGTCTTGTAAAGGTATCCAGACAACTCTGGCTTGCCCTATAAACTTGAAATGTCTTCTACCATTTATAAAATGTTTTAAAAATTATACTTTCACACCTTAGAATAACAACTGCTATATGTTTACTACCAGTAATACAAAACAAAACATATAACTATCATAAGAAACAAATCGGGTAGTACCTCTTAGTTTCAATTGCTAAAATCAGTAAAAACAATAAGCTTCAAAATAATGATAGTGAAAACTCTCTCATTATGTTGAGGGCTTCAATCATTACTATTCTCTCCTTTCGTATGGAAATTCCTCATTTTTACAACTACATATATAAAAGTCATTTTATGTTCTAATTATCCTGCCCAAATCTCCAGTGTTATAAACTTTGCTGTAGATTTTCTACTGTGTCACAGTTTAGGTTCAAATGAGCCCAGCTTTGTTCTTGCAGTTCCTGCCACTCAGACAGAACATGAGAGATGCTGGTACAGTGTCTTAGAAATTAAGAAGAAATGGAGAAGTATTTTAAATACCTGTGTGTTTCCTCCACTAACATACAACACAGTTGGGTTGGTGGCTCCAGTGATGAGGCGGCCCATCTCAATGTGGCCTATACAGTGGTTCACACCCAGCAACGGCTTATTCCACAGCTGAGCCACAGTACGGGCCACAACAGCCACAGAAACCAGTGGGGCACCCATGCCAGGGCCTAGGGAGATAGAAACGGGAGTCAGAATCCTCTAGAGACTGGGAAAAACAGAGCTGGAGGAAGCAGGGATGTGAGAGGTGGAGTTAGAGTAGTGATGGTAGCAGAGGCGAACTGCAGACTACTTTGACATAGCCAGGCTCTAGGTATATTCGTCCACTGTCCACGACTCACCCAGCCATACCTTTGGTGTAAGCAATGCAGTCAATATCCTGGGAGGTTAATCCAGCCTCTGTTAGTGCCTCCTGCAGCAGGTCCAGGATAACAGCTCGGTGGTGCCTGGCAGTATCACCTGGTAGAAATCCTAGGAGATGAACACAGGTCAGACATCATAGGGTTTTTCTGTAGCAAAGGTACTTAGACGTCCAAGAAAGATCTTTTAGTAGCAGAAAGAGTCGATTTCACTCTCCTCAAGCATCCTTTCTTCCAGGTGCTCAGACATGCTATTTCCAGCCTGTTCAGCTAGGCTGAACAGCCCCACAGAAATGCCCTTCTTCATACTCAACTTCTTCGCAGCCTTCAGGACTCAATACCTCATACCCTTCGGTGATTTTCTCTGTGACCCTACAAACCCTCTGCAGTAACACATCAGTGTATTTAACCAAATGTATTTCACCATGTCTAGTATTTTCACTGTGAGCCTGTTTGTTGTAACATCTTTGCCACAAGTATTTCCTCCACAAACATTTTTGTGGCACAACTAGCAGGCCTTAAAGCAATTGGCACAACGGGCTTTAAAGCAATTTCAAAGTAAAAGATAAAATAATGAAAAATACAAAGACATTGAAACATGAAAATAAATAACAAAACTTTTAAAAAACTTTATTGTGGAAAATGAAAATACATTGTCTTCTGTTCATTGTATTGTACTTTTTTTTTTGCTTGTTGATTTCATCTCCTTATCTGGCATCACATTTTTTCTTTTTCACTATAATTCTTCCTTCATTAAGAGAGGTGTCAGTTCCAACTAAGGACATTGATAATTAATGCTCTCGAAGACTGTTGTGAATTAGTAGCCGCCTCTTTTATGTTTGCCATTGCTTGGCAAACTTTGGTTATGACGCGGGGGAAGGGAAGACTGTGCTCACAAACGATTTACAAACTGGTAAGTTATCATTGTCTAGTAGAGTATGCACTCTGGCTTTCACATTGCTGTGCAATCTGGCTTATACATAGTTGTTATCATCCACTGTTTTAAGAATACCACACCTACTCATCACTGTTGAAACCATTATGAGAGCTATGATTTATTTAATATAAGAATGGCAGTAACTGAGACAACTTACTCAATGGAGAAATGAAACCAAACTGTCAACCAGTTATTTTAATCTTTTACAGTGAAATTGCCTTATGGTCAATTAGCTGTGCAGTAAAAATGTTTGTGGCAAAAATACCCACGACCGTTATTTAACATGTTAACAATTATAGCATCATAATTAGCTGTAGTTTCCCCAGTTTAACGGTGAGCATCTCAAAACATTGACTATCTTATTCATCTTTGTATTCCTGGTGCCAAAATGCCTGGAAGAGTGACTGCTAAACATACATATATTTCTCTTGAGTAACCTGTCACAACATCACCTGTTCAGGGAGGATCTTCAGGTATATGCAAGTCAGTTCCATACACACATGTGTTTTGGGGAGGGTAGACATGATATAACATCATAACATAAATAACATTTACTAAAAGTTGTTGTGCAACTGGTACTTAATTCTCAAGATCCACCGATGCAGGTATTATTCCCATGTTATGAGTAAAGAAGCCCCAAAACATATACAGAACATATTACAAAGTCAGCCAGTTCTGTCTAATACCTAACAGAGTCTTTACCCTCATTCTAGAATATTTTTGATTGCATCTATATGTTATACTATTTATCACACTGTAAAGTTCTGTTTACATGTCCAACTCCATAGCAGGCTCATCACATCTACTTTTGTATGCAACTATTTTTGTGTCCAACAGCAAACTGACGATTAGCAGGAGCTCAATAAAGGCTGAAGGAACCCTGAACCAGGTCCAAGTACCTGTGGACTCTTCTATCCTTTGGCTTATGTGACGTTAACGTCACATAATCTCAGAGGCTTGGATCAAAAACTCCGAGGGGACAATGCGCTCCACGCCCTACTTCGCTAGTGTTTTGTAAGATGGCAGACGATATGGGTGGAGAAGCGCGCTGGAAACTGTAAGTTGCCTGCTCACCTGTGCCCGGAGGTGTGACGTAAGTCCGCCGTGGGTTTGCCAGCACCACGCCATCCCGAACCACTCCCACTCCAATCTTGTTGGCGCTGCCTTCAAAACCCAGTACTGTTGGCATGTCCAATGCTGGGAGGAAACGCCGACAGGGCTCCCAGCTACCAGAGCAGTCGTGGGACCCTCACCAATCCGTGCTGAGAGCAGGTTCCAGAGCGCAGAGAAAGAGCACGAGCCCACTACTAGCAAGTGGCCGAGCAGGCTCACCCAGACAGGAACCAAACAACTCCGGCTTCAGCGCGCCCGCGCGGGTCCGCCCCCCAGCCGTCGTCACTGCGACCCGTCAAGGCCCCTTCAAGGACCTGTCCTCCTAACTGCCAGGGACCCTGTGCGGCCTCTGCTCCTTACATTTCTATCTGTTCCTTTGCCTGTCTCCGGTAGTCTAGTGCAGACTTCACTGAATTTCGTCTTGCACAGCGCCCGATCTTCGGTCAGGGTGGCAGAAGGAGTCGTATATCCGGCATACCGATAAACAGTCCGAGAATGGAGGGTTGGGGCCTTTAGTCCTCTAGAGATGTCGGAGGAGGGAAGGAAGATGAAGGTTTTCCGTCACGTGGGGCCAGACAGACTAATCACCGGTGTTCCTCTGCTACGTGATGCTACCTCAGATCACGTGACCACGCCAGTTACCCACGTGGGAGCATAGCGTGCTCCATTCTTTGTGCTCTGTTAAGAAGGATCCGTGCTCCAACTTTAGCAGGTCGGTTACGGGGCTGCTGTTCTTTTGCCCATCAGAGGGGCTTCTCTGGACATCCGATTGTCTAGCATACGCCGGGACGCTTAATTAAGGCCCTTGATTGGCCTGAGGGAAGATCTCGCGATTAAAATACATAGGTCACTATGAAATAATCTAGCGGTGTGGGTGAGGGGCTAAAGGGCTTATGGCGCATGGAAGCAGGGAAGGAATCCAGAGATAAACGGGTCACGCGAGGGAGGAGTTTTTTGCCTAGCTTTGGCTGGTTTCACCACTTATTTGCATCTGCAGGCAACGCGGTAAAAATACTACTCCGCTGGGCGACGTGGTGCAGGAGGGCATTCGTTACAGTGATGCCGAAGCGTGGGAAAAAGGGAGCGGTGGCTGAAGACGGAGAAGAGCCCAAGACTGGTAAGAGGATGAAATGAGTCCCCTCCCTGGAAGCTGTAACGGTGGGCGGTGCTTGCCTCGACAAATGGGAAGTACGGACCGAAGCACATTTTTGCAGTTTGAGAAGGAGTGGGTGCTATCGCAGGCTCTCAGTGGGCCTATAGTTAACTCTGATGAAAAGTTAAGACACCGCCAAATCTTACCTCTACATATCATTTATTTTACAGAGCCAGAGGCCAAGAAGAGTAAGGCGGGAGAAGGAGCAAAGAAAAACGAAAAAGAGGCAGCAGGAGAGGGGTCAGTCCTGTATGAGGACCCCCCAGATAAGAAAACCTCACCCAGTGGCAAATCAGCCACCCTCAAGATCTGCTCCTGGAATGTGGATGGGCTTCGAGCCTGGATTAAGAAGAAAGGTTTAGATGTGAGTGAAATTCAAGGAGGGGGAAGAGATATTCTTTAGTATTGAATGATCTTGGGGTTTAATTACCTTTCCCATTTTAGTCCCCAGCATGTAGGTTTTATCTTTCCCTTGTTTATATTTTTCTTGGGGGAGAGGTACAAAGAGGGGCTTCATGAAGTCATACCAACTGTTTCCTGCATATCCATTTCTTCCATTACATTGCTGTTGTCATAAATGTTTAATGTCCTCATCTCTTCCCCAGCATGTTGAAAAAAATCTTGTGGTTCACCTTTCTCCCTTTTAATCTCCAGAATATTGTTTTTAAATAAGTAGTGCTCACATAATGCAGTATACAGGTGATGTATTATAGAACTGTATACATGAAACTTAATTTAAATGACCAGTGTTACCCCAATAAATCTAATAAAATTTAGAAAGTGACTATGCTTAAAAATCTTAGCCATTCACTGCCTATGGAAAAAAACGCAATGTCCTCAGGGTTGCATGCAAGGTTTACCTCGCCTTAATCTAAAACTGCTGCTAGATGGTTAAACTCCTTATGCACAGGGACTGTCTTCTGTGTATCCCTAGCACTTAGCATAGATTCTTCAGTAATTGTCAGCTGAATTGATATTTTATACCTTTCATTTCACTCAGTGGGTGAAGGAGGAAGCCCCAGATATCCTGTGCTTGCAAGAGACCAAATGTTCAGAGAACAAACTACCAGCTGAACTTCAAGAGCTGCTTGGCCTGTCCCATCAGTACTGGTCCGCTCCTTCAGACAAGGAAGGGTACAGTGGCGTGGGCCTACTCTCTCGCCAGTGCCCACTCAAAGTCTCCTATGGCATTGGTGAGACCCTACTGATCCCTAATGCCTGAGCTCTTCCAAACCAATTGCTAATACCCCATTCCAGTCCCAATTCTGATTCCTTTATTTTCTATTCTCCTTTTTCTTAATACTTCTTTGTATTGATACTGTTTCATCATTTCTGCAGGCGAGGAGGAACATGATCAGGAAGGCCGAGTGATTGTGGCTGAGTATGATGCATTTGTGCTGGTAACAGCCTATGTACCTAATGCAGGGCGAGGTCTGGTGCGCCTGGAGTACCGACAGCGCTGGGATGAAGCCTTTCGCAAGTTCCTAAAGGGCTTGGCTTCCCGCAAGCCCCTTGTGCTATGTGGGGACCTCAATGTGGCTCATGAAGAAATTGACCTTCGCAACCCCAAGGGAAACAAAAAGAATGCTGGCTTCACTCCGCAAGAGCGTCAAGGCTTTGGGGAATTGCTGCAGGCTGTGCCACTGGTTGACAGTTTCCGGCACCTCTACCCCAATACAGCTTATGCCTATACCTTTTGGACCTACATGATGAATGCTCGATCCAAAAACGTTGGTTGGCGCCTTGATTATTTTTTGGTGTCTCACTCTCTGTTACCTGCCTTGTGTGACAGCAAGATCCGTTCCAAGGCCCTGGGCAGTGACCACTGTCCCATCACCTTATACCTAGCACTGTGATACCTTCCCCAAATCATTTTGAGCCTGGGAAATAAGCCCCTTAACTAGCTTTAAAATGCCTTTGCTATCTAGAGAATTCTGCACTGTTTCCTTTCTAGAAATGTGAATCCTCCTAGTGGCTTATGGGTTTCCTTTAAGCCCAAGGTTTTGCGTGTGTATGGGTTTGTTTTTTTTTTATATTAAACAAAAGCTACTGGTGAGTTCCTTTGCCCTGTCCAAGTGAAAATAAAGAGCCATAGTTTCACCCTTGCTGTCTTTGTATTCTAGCCCTCTGTGGAGCTACAGATTCCCCTGCTCATTTTTTCATACATAGAGATTAACAACTAGAAGAGGGTAGAGTTGTGACCTTATTTATTTACAAGCACAGGATGAGTCCCTTACCCTCCCCCAACACTGCAACCCACCAAGCCCAGTGAAATACAGCTGGGGGTAAGGTTGGAAGGAGGAATTAAGGGAAACACAGGACTTGGGGAACATACCCCATATTAAATAGTTATATACACATCAGTTCCTGTGGTTCTGTACAGAGCAGCGGCTGACCCCACCCCTACAGGACACGGAATGGGGGGAGAGGAGACTGAGAGTACTGAGGCCAGAGCCAGCCCCCGGTGAAGTGCAATAGCAGCAAGGTCCTAATGGTGCACAAGAGGGAGGGAAACCCCCAGGGCTACCCACCCCAACCCTGCCCTGGAATGTGTAAGGGACAGGCATGGCTCTCAGGGAGCATATATAAAGGACAAGGCTAAAACCGTCTTTCAAGACCCAGGTTTAGGGGCAACATTTCACCTACTTCACCCTAAACACAGCAACCCGCAACCCTTGGAGGAAAGCAAGACGGCCAGCATTGGTCTTACCTACCCCTCCAAACTTGGATGAGGGCCTGGTTCCCTCCTACCTCTCCCCAGGGAAAAGGAAGGCAGCTGCTTGGCTCCTCTTAGAGAAGCCCAAGGAGCCTTTTGTCATGGCTCCCTTTGTAGTGTCACTGTCCCCACCAGGAAGGGGCCAGGCACAGTGTGGGTCATCATGGGGTTCAGGAGAAGTTCTGGACAGGGTGGCTGACCTTCATACAGGCCCAATAGAGGGCCCGCCCCAAACACAGCACAGCCAAGAGGATGACAAATGCCCAGGCTGCATAGATGCCTCCATACTGCTGTGCATGCTTCCATGTCCCAAACTGACAAAAGAAAAAAAAAAAGGGTTACTGTCATCTCACCATTTCCTAAAAGCCCTAGTAACGGTAACCCAAGTCAAGCTTCAGTCCCTGTTCCCTATCCATGTACAGCCACCTTCAGTGACCTGCTTAAAGGCCCAGTTGTTGAGTTTCCTTCCCCTAGGCAGGAGCACGTTCTCACACACATGATCCCAAACATCTGTCAGTTTTTCTTTTTAAAAAAATCCTCACCCAAGGATATGTTAATTGATTTTAGAGGGAGAGAAAGGGGGAGAGAGAGAAGAAAAAACACTGATGTGAGAAACATTGATCGGTTCCCTGCCTCCTGTACATAGCCCAACTGGGGATTGAACCCCCAACCTTTTGGTGTATGGGATGATGCTCCAACTAACTGAGCACCTGGCCAGGACTGTCAGTTTTTCTTAATATCTTACAATCACATCGGGTTTCCTAAATATCAACTCCTAATTTAAGCCACTTCTCCATTGTCCTATCCTCTGCATAAAGAAGATGGCTGGTTCTTTACTCCAGAAGCAACATTGAAGACTGCTTATCAGTTACCTTCAACTTCAGTTCATGTACACATTAAACACGAAGTAAGCAAAATGCCTTTAATTTCTTGCCCTTTTTAAAGTTAGTCATTCCCAAATCTTAGCTTATGTAGATGATGCTGAAGAATGAAAGGGGTTGCATTACAGTTACTCACGGCAAGTCCAGTGGCAGTGACTGCCAAGAGCAAGCCAAGCAAGAAGCAGCAGATACATCTCTTTCGTGGATATCTGCGCCCAATAGATGACCTGTGGGGAAGTAAACAAAAATGTATGTTTTAAATGGCCCTTTAATTTTTACTGTACATGTTACCCAATTACCAACTCAATGATGCTTCTCTCTAATCACTTACACTTTCCTGCAGTGAGGGCAACGGGCCAAAGTTCGGTCTGTGAACTCTGTCCACTACGGAGAAAGAAAAAGAGAGAACCAATTAATAGTACAAGCAAGGTCACTTTCAATTAGAGACCTGGGGCAGGGGAGGGTAGGAAATGGGTTCTCATGAAACAGGCCTGTTCAGGATTATCGTCAATCAGAAGTATATTCATGATTCTTCCTGGGTTTTTTCCCCCTAGGGCTTCCCAATACCCCTCCTCACCAGGAAAGTATTCTTGCAATGTCCACAGATGACCCTGACTCCCACGGGTTGTGGTTCTGGACTCAGTGGTCCTGGGTGCACAGGCCCCAGATTAATGATTCTTTTGCTGTACAAGGAAAAGTCTATGTTTAAAAAGTTTTTAATCCTAAGGACCCTTACACTATCCCTCTTTCATAGCCCCACTCCCTGCCTC